GGGGGGGGGGGGGGGGGAGCAAAGCAAAGCAAACATTGTAACAGATCGCTTACAGCTTGTGTCCTGCATGCATTACAGTCAATTCACTAAAGCAGGACGCATGCAGGATTTTCTTTAACGTCCACCATCTGGAAATGTTTACCACTGAAAATCAAAATATAGGTAAAAGCACGTGAAAGAAAAGAGGAATCCTTATACTGAATGCTGTCATTATACGTATTAACCCTTTGGCTGCCAGAGTGGTTTTTGCACACGTTATAATACACATTTTAGGGCTGAAAATTACTTAAACCCCCTAGAATGATATCTTTTCTGAAAGCACAGACCCTCTAGAATAAAATAGCGGCAGTTGCAAATTTTAATGTTATTTTATATTAGTGCAACTCTTTATCAAGCCCAAAATGTTAGTGAAAAATGCACACAAGTTAATTTTAGTGCACAAAATTACACAATATTGTATAATATAAAAGACGAGGGTACGATGAGTAAATAGATACCTAACATGCCTAGGCTACACATTGGGTGCACCTTGCGTGGCGCCAAAATAATGTACCCCAAATTGTCTGTAGGCGACGCTAACAAAGCCTGTACAGGTCATCAGTTTAAAGTAATCATGCATATTGGCACTAGAATTATTGCTCTCATTTTGGCTTATGTGGCGATACTTAACATGTGTGGCACAATTGCTTTTTCCCAGGGCCGGTGCTATAATATTTTGCACCCTAGGCAAGACCAACTACTTGCACCCCCCCAGACCCTCTCCTACGGTGCAACCCCCAGTCCCACCCAGTGCGGCTCCATTCTCCTGCCAGCTAGCTTCCGCAGGCGACGGGTGAATGTAAGCAGGCAAGAGCAATAGCCAGACTGCTATTGGCTATTTTAAATTTGAAATAGCCAATAGCAGCCTGGCTATTGAAACCCCACCCACTGAGCAGAGGAGCAGACGTGAGAGAGAAAGTTGTCTCTCAGTTCTGCTCCTCTGCTCAGTGGGCAGGTGCAATAGCCAGCCTGCTATTGGCTTTTACAATTTGAAATAGGGGGGGTGAGTGGTCGAGGCTGCGCCCTGGGCGGCTGCCTAGTTTGCCTAGTGGCAGCACCGGCCCTGTTTTTTCCGCATGTAGGCACACCCGACATGTGTTTGTGTTAGTATGCGCACGTGTACAGGGACAGGGGAACTTTATAACATTTGTTGGGGGTATTTTAAAATGTATTTATTTTTTTACTTTTTTTTTACTTAACTTAATTGCTATCACATAGGGGGGCTGATAAGCCCCCTATTTAATAGCACATTGGGGATGACTGGTTCGCTTTAAGGTGACATAAGGAGTCTATTATACCCCTTATGTCACCTTTGCAGCCCACTGAAGCGGATCATGCTTTATCAGCCGGCTTCTCTAGCTGGGGAATGACAACTCAGAAGCTGTAGGCAGGGCCGGATTTACTCTCTCTGCTGCCCCAATGCCAGGTTCCTTAATGCGCCCCCCTGTATGCAGGCTGCATACAAGTTATCTCGGCGATACCGCCAAGATCACTTGTGCAAAACAAGCGGTGGCTTCCCCACTGCACAGTGTATATCTTAAAAGCATCATGAATACTCTAGGTCTCCCTTAAAGGGCTACACGTCTCCTTACAAACTGTAGGGCAGCTCACTTGGTAGAAATGTAATATAATACAACGCAGTTCAGGTAACAAGCTGTACCATGCTCTAAATCAGTGTGTGTACCTTTCTCTCTCTTATCCCTCTGGTGAAAGTCCGCAGCAGTACAATGCCACAAGCTCCATAAATGAGAGTTCAATGACTGTTTTAAAGCAGCAGGATCTCCAGCCAACCGGATAATGTGGATTTCACCAGCAGAGCTGCCAACCCGAGTCTGTTTTTTTTTGTAAGGAAACCAGCCAAAAAAGTAACAGACATCTTTTTGTGTACACTCTGCAGTGACATTAGACTGTCCATAATGGTTCTACATTTGATTTGTATACAATTTGCAAAAAAAATATGCTGCATTAGTAACAGTTTACTTAGGTTACTAAGTATTTATGATTAACTATAATCATGTGGAATGAGCAATACCCAGGCAGGCTGGCATTGCACTGTACAGAGTGTTTAGGAGGCACTTATTAATATTATAAATGCTTAATTTTATCATGGTTAAAACACTGTAGTTGGTTTAGGCCGGAGCAGAAATACTGACGGTGCAGCCAGTGTGGTTGCACCAGGGCCCAGGCCTAGGGGGCCCCAGTAATGAGGCCAGTGAGTGGCACTATAGTGCAGCAACCCCCAGCGCAGAGATGGTGGGGGTCATCCACCAGCTGAGGAGAGAGCCCGGTGGTAGCTGGCAGGAGAAAATACATAAATGCACTGCACAGCAGCCCTGCAGGCACACGATTGGACAGCGCTGGGGCCTTGGGTGCGAGGACCCAGCGAGCAGCTACCTGTACAGTCCACCACCTCTCCCTGGTGCATGTGTTCCCGCCGCAAAGACAGTCAGATGAGGTGACTGTTTTCATCTATGTTCTGTGACATAATTTGTAGCCCTCTATAACTAATGGGCAGAGGACAACAACTCCCAGCAATACATTATACGGTAATGCAGAATGGCTTTGGCTATAGAGGACTACAACTCCTAGCAATACTTTATACAGAAATGCAAAATGGTACCGGCTATAGAGGACTACTACTTCCAGCAATACATTATATGGCAATGCGGAATGGCAAAGGCTATAGATGGGATTCTGCATTGTTGTATAAACTATTGCTAGTAGTTGTAGTCCTCTATAGCCAAAGCCATTCTGCATTGCCATATAAAGTATTGCTGGGAGTTGTAGTCCTCTATAGCAGCAGTCTTCTGCCTTTTTGGCACCAGGGATCCGGTTTCATGGAAGAACATTTGTCCATGGACCGGGGTGGGGGTTAGGTTTAATGTGAGGGAATTAAGTGGGGGATGGATTCGGGAAGTTTCAATCGCATTTATTGTGCACTTTATTTCTATTATTATTACACTGTAATTTCCCTCTGCTCTCAGGTGGTCAGTGTGGGCTCTCAGGTGGTCAGTGCAAGCTTTGTAAGAGCCAGGGCGGGCAAAAAAAAATCTTAGACGAGGGCCCTTTGTTCCTTTGGTCCACTACTGGGTTTAGGCCTCATTGCAACAGGTGCATTTGGACGTATTTCCCCACCTGGGAAGCCACAGGTGCTGCATACAGCCATCCATGGTCATCAATGACTTTGAATGGTTAAAAGAGAAAAATGCAGTTATTTCCCCCATACATGCTGAACTGGACGGAGGACTCCCCACTGCCAGCTATTGTATTGAGTAAATGCTGCTCCTGTTGAATAGGGGCGGTGTCGATAGGGCAGGGTTTCTGGTGGTGGTGGGGGGGAGCGGCGCCACCATCCACAGCTCCAGTTTCGGCTGATTTAGAATTACAAAATTCAAGCAATATATGGCCGGTTTAAGATCGTTGGGATATCTATTGCTTAAATATGACACTTGTAAAGGTTATAGCAGCTGGATGGAATTCGGAGGGCCCATTCACACCATAGCGTTGTGTTAATCCTGTGATACCATGTGATTAACACACGCTATTGCACAACATACCTAGCATGCCCTAGGTGCGTTGCCATTCATGTAAATGGAACCCCAGCGTAACTCCTGGCCGCCGTACATTGCAAAACAGCGCAGTGCTCAGTACTGCACTTGTGTGGAAAAAACTAGTTCATGCAGCGCATGGCGGCTGTGAGCTGTGTTAAGGAGACATTCACATGGATGGCAATGCAATGTAGCTAGAGCATGGTAACACACGCTAGGTGCATTGTGTCATAGCCTGCGTTGTGTGAATGGGCCCAAATGGTTTCAGCCCCATATAGGTATGTATAGACAGAGAAACATTATACATCTTCCCTTTCATAAAACAATAAAGCATTATCTTTCTGTATTATTTAGGATCTCTAGTGTTACCATTAGACTGAACGTTGTACAATCCTGCACTCTGCTGGTAGAATTGTAGACTGCAGTGAATTTCTTTCAAACAACCAGTTCTGTGACGATAAGTATGAACAAAGAGCTAGAAAATAACATGCTGATCAAGCCAGCCACCTTTATCATTTGCAACATAACATTTTGCATCTGTATATTGTGCCAGTTTTGCTCTACTCACCTCAAAATAGCTAAATCACCTTTGTGCTCCAAGTCTACCAAGTGTGCTTTATCAAAAAATAAAAAAATTGCTTTGATCCACTCAGAAATTATACACTCAAAATTGACACATTACCCCAACTCTGCTGCAAAATATTTTATATTTTGAGATGAATTAAAAATTCAGCAAGGAAAGGGACAGCTGCATAAATCTTAAAGGACAAATAAAGTGGGATTTGTAAAAAGTGCTGACAGGTTGTTTAAAACAACAGTATAAGTGATTTTTTTCTGAAGATATGGGTAAACAACGCGATTTAACAGCCTTTGAACGTGGGATGATTGTTGGCGCTCTGAGCCATGGAGCGAGTATCAGCAAAACAGCAGAATTCGTTAAATGTTCAAGAGCAGCTGTTGTTAAAGTGTTTAAAGACTGGACTGTCAGCCGAAAATCTGGGTCTGAACGTGCGAATTGTGGCCGTCAGCGACTAGTCAATGTTAGGGCAGAACGGAGAGTGGCAAGACTGGTACAAGACAACAGAAGGGCAGCAGTGCAGTGTCAGATTCCTCGTATCACCTTTCAACATCTCATGGAGTCACGAGGCGGCCCAACAAAGTCATCTCGTGGCCCAACGAAGTACTGATGGGGTGGTCATAATAATCTGGCCACTCAGTGTATATATATATATATACACACACACACTATTTGAATCAGAACCAGCTATATAACCCCAACGGGTTTTAAGAAAAACAACTAATCTTTCCAGGAAAATACAATGT